ATTTAAAATTTAGTTCAGTCGTCCCGGTAAATGCCGCAACTGCGCCATGACTGTACGCTAATCCTATTCCGTTTGTGATACGAATTACCGGCCGTCGAGGAGTCAGCCCGGGTGAGCCAAACAAGATCCGTTTGACGTAGATAAAACGAATTAGTCTCATGTAACCGGTGCCGTAGATACGTTTGTGGGGAGCTGATGCGCATTAGCGTAGTGCGTATTTGGAATGGATCGCTCATGTAACCCCGGTAACTGTGTAGCGGCACAGCATGATTCCAGGCACCCGATATCAGAGACATCTAGTTGGGAGAACTGGAATTAACCCTCGCCGGCCAAGGGGGGGCTGGTGCCGCTCCCCCATAGGTTTTTTTCGCGATAGCTCCGAACACGCTGGGGATAGAGAGCTGAAAATTGGCATACCGGACCTTTGATTCAAGCCGGATCTTCTGACACCAACCGCATTTTCGGGCCAGGTCAGGTCACTGACCTATGACGTCATAAGTGAACCTCTGGAGTTGCACGGTCTTCAGATGTCGCAGCTTCGCAACGCCCTCACTGCCAAAATGGCTTTCACAGGGAAATAAAACTTGCAGGATCTTATATCCATTACTAGTCTCACTTGTATATCTCGGATTTTTCCTAAAGGTCATATGAGGTCAGGTCATTTTCGTGACCTCACCATTATAAGTCAATGGCAAAAATGAAAACTGCTATTCTGGCGCCGGAAACGATCTCCAACTATCTCAAGCACACAGAATCGTGGTTTGGTGTACTCCTTGCAAGGTTAGATGCGTCACTTTTGCAATGTTGACCTTGCGTGACGTCATTTATGACGTCATTAGGGTCATATTAGTTTTTCGTTAATAACTGCCGATCAAATTGAGCTAGCGAGTCGGGAAAGCCACCAATGGACTCAGGAAGACCTGCCCAATCAAATGATATGCGACATGACCTACTTTGACCGATTTCGTGACCTGGGGGTGCTGACCTGACCGTGACCTGAGGTCAACACCTGAAGTTGACCGCACCCAAATAAAAAGCATATCATTCGACGCGCCTGAGCGAGGCGAACACGATGCTGCCAAAATCGCGGCTCTGCGACCGTTTTTTGCGAAGTTATTCACCAAAAACTGAACCTTACCATGGGGCACTTGACCTGACCTCAGAGGTCACCGGTTGACCTAGGACCTTAAATTCGGGTACCAATCTTTGCGTCTCGTAACGGCGCACACGCTCGTTTTTTCCGCGACGCGCTAGCTCCACCAGGGGCGAAACGGCGAGGGCGGGGTCGTACCCGCCCCCCCCCCCCCCCCGTTGGCCGGCGCGTATGTGGAAAACCAATAGGTCCGGCGAGGGTTAAGTCGATTGCAACTGGCTTCATTGTTACTTTTCCCCTTATCGATTAAAACAAAATCGCAGATGTTAGATGTTCAGAGTAGGTATTCAAATAATTTGTCTTCAATTCTTAATTGGCATTTGGCAGACTAACTCGCAGTTGTTATGGCAACCATCCTTGACTTCCTCGTCAGACTCATCTCCACCAAAGCCTATTGCTGGACCATAATTTCACCAAAGTGATTTCACTCTTATTGTATAAGTACGTGATATCCAACCTAGCAAGCAACTTAAAAAGGCTTAAGATCAAAATTCGTTTTCAAGAAGCTCGTCCGATTGAGCCTATCATGTTCTCCCGCAGTGTGCGCGGGTGCGATCGATGCGCAGCGCCGAACGGTGGCGCGGATCGACAGGTGACGTCTTGAGACGGCTCGGCGGCGCGGTGCGCCATTACCGGCGCGGCCACCTTGGGTTTCAGCGGGCGGCTCGTTACACGGCCGGGCCACCATTAGGGCGCGCGCCAGGCCTGCCCCTCGCCCTCGGTCAGACGCTAAAGAGCGGCGACACGAATCTCTGTCCGGCCGGCCGGCCGACACGACTGGCGGATGCTGAACGGATTACCGGGGAATTCTCTGCCAATTTCCACAGCAAACCCCTGTGTGGTACGGAACGTCTATTCATAATCCACGACAGCCTGAAGACTTTGGTGCTTTAATTTTTAGCGTAGCCTTGATCGGAACCATGCAGCACGTTTTCGTTGCGTGGGAGTGATCTCGGTCCCAACATAAATCATATCTGGGGCTGATGAAATAGTAAAACCTTCCCATGAGCTGGGGTCGGTGCCTTCTGCCCAGTGCTGCACGTGCCTTACGTAAGGTATATGTAAATGAGCCTGTCGGCGACACTCTCGATAAAGGTGTGCCCGTGCCGTCCCATGTCCGTCCGTATGATATATTGACTGAAAGGGGCTTGTTATCAGGATATTCCAGACCATTCAAGTGGTATCTGGGGCCGCGGCTGGGTCTAACAATGCCGTTTGCTGATCACGGGTAACATCATCTGGAGGGTGGTCTGCCACGGCCAGCAATGGAAGGACCGTAGCTCTCCTTTTGTAGACAAGATACGCAATGGCAAGCCTGGTCACTGCGGATCAGAACAAATTCAGATGCAGAAAGATGCATGGTAAAAATTTCAGCACCTTAATTGATAATGGTGATGAAAAATAAGATAAATCATGTGAACAACACAAGGATCGAATGCAGTTGAAAAATCGAATACAATTATAATAGTGAACAATCGAATGCAATTAGTACAATCGAATACAACCAGTGAAGCAATAGTGTTAAATTATCTAGTTCCAATTCATCTCGCGAAGTTGTGTGTCGTGTAGTCTGCTCGTTTTCATTGATGTTTTTATTTTTGTTTTCGTCTATGATAGGTTCACTTTCTGATCCATCACCTGTCCTGCGTGATTTGTCATCTGACCACGCCCGCCACTTTCCGCGGTTCCGTTCCCACGCACTCCCGCGCTCAGCTGACCCGCCCGATTCCCGGTAATGTGGCCGCTCGTTACGCGCGGTCTCTGAGCCGCCGCGCCGCGCTGCCGCCGTCTCAGTTACAGCCTCATTTCGGCGCGCGACGTACCAATGAGAGCATACTCAGCTCACCTGCTCCTATTCTGGGCGGGCGGGAACGGCGACTGAACGGTGTTGAGAGCGCTGCTGGCTCACAGGTCAACAGAGCGGCAGCAGTAGGCACTGCATATGAAAGTCGAGCCTGGTTGACTTGTTCCTTTAGCGTCATTTAATGTGGTCTGGTGCAAATCGTTCGGTATTTTGGCCTCTATGACGTCCTTACGGTGGTCCCCGCTCTACATCAGTAATGAAGAGCAGTCGCTCGTTGTTGCTCGTAATTATCACAGTTATGCAATCACGTCATCAAGTTTCGCTGTCCGCTGAGATGTCAAATGCTACGTGTATCTTTCTTTTCTCCCGTGTAGGTAAATTTCTGTTGGTAAATATAATGCATCATTCCCAAATAAAATGCTCAGCTGGGTGGGCTGCCTATTCTGTGTCCGTCTCTGCTCCCAGCGGGGTGTGCAGCCGTGCTCTCTTCCTCTGTCCCTCTGCTCCTCTGTCCTCCGTCCGGTCCCGTCCCTCTCCTACCCGTACGTCCCCTGTCCTCCGTCCGGTCCCGTCCCACTCCTCCCCGTACATACGTCCCGCTGTCCTCCGTCCAGTCCCGTCCCTCTCCTCCCTGTACATACGTCCCCTGTCCTCCGCCCGGTCCCGTCCCATTCCTCCCCGTATAGTCGACTACAGAATGATGTTCCACTCCTCAGAAGCTATTAGTTGACCGGAGCGCTAAGTTGTGCCGTTTATCGCGCAATTAAGCGTGTCGATTGTGAGCATTGGGACAAAGCTATAATTTGTAAACTCAGCCCGTGTGATGCGGCACAGCCTACCACTAGAGGCAAATAATTGCCTGTGAAAAGTGGAACATCATTCTGTAGTCGACTATACATACGACCTCTGCGCTCCTCTCCTTCCCGTCCACGTGCGGGCCGAGCCGCGGCGCCGTTAGCGGCCTGTCCAGGCGCTGTCACACCTGTGCCGTCACTAATAAACGGTCTCCGCCGGCCGGCGCCGGATGGGCTGCCACAGCGCGTGATTGGTGTGCCGGCCGGCACGCAGCTGAGTGTCCCAAATGGGACCAATCACGACACGGAAACACCTCACCGGTCAATCGCCGCCGCCGCGGAGGCGTAGAAATACGTGTGACCGTGGCATTGTGGCATTGGTCTTGGTCAGCAGTGTCCAGTGTCCGCAGGCACTTCGGTGGTAAAATGATAATAAATTTGGGGTCTGGGGACACGAAAAGTAGTTTTTCACCATCCAATATTACGAATGTTGCTGAGCTTCGGCTTTTGCGCACTAGAAGTAAATTATCGATTTGCGCTGTACTGTGTATGATAAATGCCTTTTCTGTTCAATGCCCAGTCCTGCGTTCAATCCTGTGCTACAAAACCAATGCCAGAGACGTCAGGCATCCAGGCTCACCGTTTTTACTTAGCTGCCGCTCATGTTGCCAGTAATGCCAAAGAGTAGGTACTTACCTACCTTGTTTGGACTTAAAAACTCAGTTGCTCGAGATGTAGTTGCCTATATATGACCGTTGTGGGGCCAAGTCCTTACAGCACGGCATTGTTTAATACATCTGCCATTCGTGGTGTAAAATTGATTATCATAGGATTGTAAATTTAAAGCTTCTTCCGCGCTGTCAAAAGCAGTCACACCTGTTCGACCTGTGATGTGTAAAGCAATATTTTCCAGTCGTGTCGCCAGACTGCCGAGACGCTCCGTGATTGGCTAGTTGTCACTGGCGTATGATGGAGAGCCTCTCGGTCCTGGAGAAGTCCGCTCTCCACAGGCTGGTGGCGTGCATCCGTGAAAAGCGCCGTGCTCGCCGCGAGATTACGGATCTTTCGCCTCCTCTCAGCGGGATGCGGAGAGAAGTATCTCATATGTGCGGCAGAGTTCTGCGGAGCCTGCCACCTGCCGCGCGCCTTCCATCTCGCTCTCTGGCGCCCTGTCGAGTCTCTACCTATTGATCTCTGATCCTCGCAGCCACACCCAAAAATGTGCCGCTCTGCCTGCCAAAGATGTGCACAATAGACATAAACTGTATTTTCGTGAAGGCTAGAATGAAGTAGATGTTTGTCAGGTAACCAAACAGAGACAGCGCCGCGCGCACAAAGCGACAGCAGAGAAGGTGCCGCTGGTCGGACACCGCGCTCGAAGAGGCGGCACTGGCGCCGCCGGCGCCGCCCCGTCTCGGCCGGCCCGGGCTCCGGTCGGTGAACAGGGGGCCGCCCGTCCCGGCACCGGCAGCCCCGCGGTCGGCCCAACCTCGCCCGCGCCAGCAGTGACCACCCCACCCTCCAAATCACTCGCAGACCAAGCGCCGTACGAGTCCGTCGGCGCGCACCCTGGCTTGTGGATATCGCACACAAGCGCATATGCTTGCCACGCGCAGTTTGCAGCGCGAAGTAGCTGGGTTGCCCGTGGCGCTGCCGATGACCGGCGCTTTCCGCATCAGACGGGAGAGGGGCTCGGCACGACCATCGATGTCCAGCTGATGTTTGCGTATGTACAGCTCGGTGACAGGGGGCCGGGGAGTGGTACTGCGCACCGCGACACGAGAGAGGAGCGACAGACGGGGTCCGCGGCGCACCGCGCAGGGCTCTGCACGGCCGCCGCCCGACGGTCTCGAACCCCGGACCTCCGCCGCGGTCGCCGACTGTCCGCTCAGCCGGCGCGGCGGGGCTGTTTGGGGGCTGGGACGGGCGCGGCCGAGGGGACAGGCGGTCGGGTGGGGCGCCGGCGGTCGTCAGATCCTCCCTCGTGTTGGTCGGCAGGCGCGACTGATGTGGAGCTCCGTCGCAGTGCACACTCCCCGGGCCCCCATCCGCCTGCGAACAGACGACACGGTCAGGTCGGCTGTGACTGAGGCTATCAGAGGGCCACAGCGACTGAACAAAGGTATCAGAGGTCCGAGGGTAGGCATCCGGGAGGACAGACTACCAGTCACAAACTGATCTATGTTTAGAGAAATCTGTCTCACAAATAAATAGATCAGTTGTAGAACCAGCTCAGAAGCAGACAAGCTTTCAATAGCAGTTTCAAAAGTCGCACATCCACTGAGAAGTGTCCAGGAAAGAGAGAGAGAGAGAGAGAGAGAGAGAGAGAGAGAGAGAGAGAGAGAGAGAGAGAGAGAGAGAGAGAGAGAGAGAGAGAAGGAGGGAGAGGGGAGGGAGGGGGATGAGACGGGACTCAGATCGCCGAAGTTGAAGCCCTGCAAGCCGGTGAACGTGGGACGAAGTTAGCGTCGGCTCCGTGGCCGGTAAGTTAACCAGCCAAGTGTTGGGCGTGTTTTTGGTCAGCTGGCCACACACAAGTGATCAACAAACGGTTGGAAGATCGCTTTGAAGCTTGAAGCAATCGACTATAGCTTCTAGCAAAGTTTTTGCTTTCAGAGGAAAAAACATCCTTAAATCGTCATGAATCATCCAAAAACGTGAGGTCGTGACCTCTAAAATAGGACCAACCGGCCAAGAGTTTCACGAGCCCTAGTTGATTCGGCTTATTTGAGGAGCCGTCGACATCAAAGGACAGATTACCATCAGAATACAATTTTCACGCACGTAAATGGGCATTGTCATGGAGACGCCGCCTTATGTGAGGCTGTCATGAAGTCAGTAATTTGCACCTGTCACGTATTTAGCAGACGGCCAGGCGTGGCACAGCAGTCAATCTAGACGGACCTTTGGAGATCTAAAGGCGTACAGATTTGCTGTGCTCTGCTTCCCTCGCTCCAAAGTGGCATATGTTCGATAGTAATTTAACGATTTACAAGAAACTTTGGCGACTGTTGATTTTATCAGCAGTGACGGCTATGTATGCACAGAAGTAGAGCTGAGCTTGCGATTACATTTAGCTGCCCCATGCTCTGCTTTCATTTATGTTTTTATAGGTATGACACCTATTCTTTTGGTATGAGATCGAGACGGTCGGTACTATAACTATTCGACTCAGAACCGACGGTCGGTTCTGTCGCGCTCAGTTCTGTAACCAGTCGGCTCAGAGCAGTTTTTCGGTTTTATAAGCTGTCGGCTGTCGCCTCAGAGCCGACAGTTGCAGCGCTAAGACCAGCCGTCGGTTTATGTAGTTGCCGGCAGAAATGGTGGGCGATAATGGTCGCTCAGTTCGCTCGCCTTATTGCGACCACTGGGCCATTGCAGGCTGTGAAACAGCTCTCCCACGCGCCTTGGCGCTGGGAAATATCTCAAAGCTACGATAATATCAACCTGTTTGAGTTCCGACCATAATGCTTCATTGGTCGTATATTGATAGCGCTTGTGATCAATAGAAACGCTTAAATGCATATAAACAGGTCTAGACTCCCTTTTTGTTATCATCATTTTTCCGAGCAAAGTAAGAAGGTATGAGTTAGGTACGTGCCTACAATGAATTTTGTCCTGCTGGACACAAACAAGAACAATGAAGAGCTATGTCGTCTTTTGCAACCAAATACCAATGAGAGCAGTCGATGCCAGATGGGCCTGCTACCCGTGCGGACAGCACTGTTCGCCCAGAGCTGCAGTCATAACGCAAACTATTTTCATATCAAGGCTGACATCGTCCTAAGTATGATTATTAGCGGACATTAATTTGGCCCGATGGGCGCTTAACTGGCAGATGCCTTAATGTGTGATATTGCCTTACCAAGGTGAGCCGTCCGCTCCGCACGGCACGACCGCTGCGTCTGATTTGATAGATAGGTTCAGCTAAGAAACTGCATTGATATTAGGAAGCTGCGTTCCACCGGTTTATCTGAGCAAAGATGGTCTCGCGTTCGATCAGCCATTTCCATGGCAAGGGAATATGATTCAAAGGAGCTGGGAGCATGATTAGAATGACACTGACAGTGGAAAGCTTATGAATCGTGTCTGAGAGATGGGAACCAGCTGAACTCTGGTGCTTATTGCAGCTGCCTACAATTTTATTTGGTATAAATATGTAACGATAGACCGTAGAGGATCGAATGCAGTCCAGTTAACACGCGATTCGTTTATAAATTAGCAATTACTGATGCTTTGGATGAGCCAGCGCCTGTCAAATAAATCAACCATTTTCAATCCGTCTTCCTTTTATCTTTAAGCAGAAAACGAAACTAGCTAAATGCGAAGATAAGACCGAGGCGTTAATGGCCAAAGTTTTGGATAAGGACGAACCAGCAATAAAGAGCACCGAATGTTATAATCACCCAAGTTTTTGTACCGTGCGATAGGAGATGCTCGGGTGACTGCCCTTACCTCTAAAGTTGGAGATAAATTGGAGTGTTTACTATACCCTGCCTCTCCTGGAGTGATTTTCCGGAGAGCCACTCCACTTTACCGCCCTGGGCTTCAGCGCGCCCATCAGGCTCACGGCTCAGCGGCGGCGTGCGCTCCAACTTACCGAGTTTCTAGACCATCATGGAGCTGATTCTGTCGCTAAAGCTGATCTGGTCGTCGTCAATCGCCGGCGCTGGCCGCAGGCCGAGTTGTGACCTGAGGTCGCCGGGGGTCAGCGCCAGACGGCTGCCCTCGCCGCTGGCCTCCCAGCCGGAGGGCGCCGTGCGTTTTCTCCGGCCCCTGAGAACACGCGGGGTCAGATGTTTGGAGAGCGGGCCTCTAAAACACACGGGGTCAGATGATTGGGGAGCGTGCCTCTAAAACACACGGGGTCAGATGATTGGGGAGCGGGCTACTGAGTCCTGGGAACACAGGAGGCTAGATGATCAGGAGAGCGGGCCTCTAACAGCACACAGAATCAGATGTTGGGGGAACGGGTCACTAGAACACACAGTGCTAGATGATCGGGGTGGCGGGTCTCTGACGACACACAGGTCGTATGACTGAGTCGCGGGCTCCTGATGACACGGTCATCAACTGTAAGAGAAGCTATATGTAGGAGGAACTCAACGCTGCCCGTTATGCAAAACATATGAAACACACAACGGAACAAAAAGGGTTTTGTTACAGGGAACTCACGGGCGAGGCTTTCTAGATATACCAAAAACGCGCATCAATAGTGCAGCTTAGTCAATAGTAAATAATTCAACAATTTGGCTTGTTGTTTTGATCGTTCTGATCAGGTATGCATCAAACGTAGCTGCGCCTAATATCTCATTAGTCGTTGTGAACCCCCTGTATTCGGTCCGGTATTGTTCTCGCGATTGTTAATCATCAATGAAGAGGCGCCTAACTAATGGGGACGTGGGCAGGCCAGCTCCAATTGAATCCGGCGACTGAAGGCCGCTCGGTGTGCCGGGCCGGCCGACGGACCGGCGCTACACGCCCGCTCCCACTGACGAGCCGCGGCTATCGCTGACCACTTCAAACGGGCCGGTAATTGAGAGGTCCGAGACAGGCCAGTCAGTGGCAGAGCGGACCGCAGCCATGAGCGGGAGAGGGGGCGGGCCGGTCAGTGGCAGAGCGGACCGCAGCCATGAGCGGGAGAGGGGGCGGGCCGGTCAGTGGCAGAGCGGACCGCAGCCATGAGCGGGAGAGGGGGCGGGCCGGTCAATGGCAGAGCGGACCGCAGCCATGAGCGGGAGAGGGGGCGGGCCGGTCAGTGGCAGAGCGGACCGCAGCCATGAGCGGGAGAGGGGGCGGCGCTCGAGGGGAGAGGAGACGACGTAGAACCAACTCAACGTGAAATGGGCAAATGGACAGATACGGTCGCAAGGCAATTCGTCAAACAAATCAAGGCCAGCTAGGACTATGTGAATTGATGTTTTAGCTTAATGAAGCACCACCTTTTTAGCACAAGATAAATAATAAAGCCAATCATGGATAGCTTTCCTCATCAAGCAGCATGATCAACACACATGATGGGAAAATGTGAATAAGACAATTAACTTTTCGACACGCTATTCCAGGTGCCAGCCGACTAATGTGACTTTAGGACGTTCGTCTGCGCACGTAAACTGCGTATGCGTGCCAAATCGTGTGCGTATATGTGGCGGGGAGACCACAGCGGCGGTGACGCGGGCCTCGCCATACTGCTCTATTGACATGGACAGACGCGCCGGCGGGCAGCGCGCCCGGCTCGCGCTGTTTGGGCGCCTGTTTGTCGTGTGAATGTTGGTCACGTGGCCGGGATAGGGCGCTATCAGTCGTCTCATTCGGAGGGCGGGTGCCATTACCTGTGGGAGCCCGCTGTAGGTACGCGGGATGGGGAGCGTGCCTACTTCACAGAGCCAGGGACCATGGATCAGCAACACGAACAGCAAACGGGGAGTCGTTGGAAATGTGTTCAGTCTCACATCAGCTAGACCAGTGTATGAGTTAATCGAACATAAGTGTATGAAGTAAATCGAGAAAGTCTCACGGCAATGGCCTTTTTCGCTAAAACGTCCAAATGGTAAAATATTGTCACCTGTAGCTTTTCCTTACATTTATCTATGTAGAATCAAGTGCCCGGCCATTTCTATCAGCCGGAAGGGTACACCCTCACCCTGAACCCAATCCCCTCTGTCTGCCGTGCTGATCGCTCCATGTCCACTCTGTCAGTACAATTGGATGTATCGCATCGGCAACGGCAGCCCCGGAGCTGCACTCTCAATTAGTCGAGGCGAGCCGGCGTTCGGCCATTATACCCGGCAATTGAACCGGTCGGATACATTCCATTGCATCAGTGAGCACACTGGCACTGGCAGGCATTCCAGTGCATTCAGTCGATTCGGCAGGCTTCTGTGTTTCTCATAGCTGGGCACACCTGATCAGCGTCCGCGGGCCGTCTCCGTACCGAGGGAATCACCGTACCACTCCTATCGTGGTACACTCCAATCGCTAACAGGGACTCATAGTGCCGCGCATTGGCGAGAAAAGACACCTGCTGCCGCGCACACAGAGATAGGTGCAGATATCGCGTATTCCCGAATCGTATACGGACTCATTCAGTGCGGTAACGACGGAGCCGTTCCCGAATTATCCGCACCTGGGCGGGACACGGTCCATCACCTGGGTGGGACACGCCATATATCTCCGGTCCCCCGACCAGCCGGCCGGACCGGCGGAAACTGGAGGACGAGAGCGTCAGAGAGAGAGAGAGAGAGAGAGAGAGAGAGAGAGAGAGAGAGAGAGAGAGAGGGAGAGAGAGAGAGAGAAGAGATAGAGAGTGAGAGAGAGAGTGAGAGAGAGAGAGAGGGAGAGAGAGAGAGAGAAAGAGAGAGAGAGAGAGAGAGAGAGAGAGAGAGAGAGAGAGAGAGAGAGATAGAGAGAGGAGAGAGATGAATTAGGACACGACAGAAGGAAACTACTGGCCGAAAGAGTATAAAGGGCTAGAAGAGTGTAAACGAGTCAGACGTGATCATTGGGGAGGCAAAAGTAAAATAAATATTGCAACACAAAACAGGACGAGAAGTGAGAAGTGAATTTAGGACGAGAAGTGAAAAATAGGACCAAGTGACTGAATATCATTCACAATAAACAATCAAGGAAAAGATACCTGAAGGAGAAACGGACTTTACTAGCAATTTCATTCAAATGCTTTTTTTACTTGAAACCTACTAACTTTAGCTACTTAACTAGCTCTCGCTAGTCGCTAGCTAATTTAGTCCACCTTAGCTATCTGAAGTTACTCCGAAGATTGTTAGCCTTTACTGAAAGTTATGTTGCGTTAACGTTCTTCAAGACGCTGCAGCGTCTGTTGCATAACAACGTCTGAACAGTACCTACCAACGGCTGGGAAAAAATTGAAAGTGACAAAACAACAGGCCATCCTGTTTAGAAAAGCAATCCCCCAGCTATCAAACACAGGCAATCGGAGTTGCCGAATTATCTGTCATAGGACAAAGTAAACAGGTTCAGCGTCCATCGTCCGCCGCTCCGGGGAGGCGACCCCTCCCCCGCCGGAGCCGGTAATACGTATGGCCAATGCCGCACCCGCGTGCTCGGGCTGTTGTGTGGTAAAAGTGACACGGTCACTCCTCTGGCAGCATTGGTGGCCGCTTCTCAGGCGGCCGGGACGTAGCGCTGTCCCCCAGGGGAACCGTCACAGATCAAAGGAAGCCGACAAAGTGTCTGTCACCACGCGCACTGGCAACGTGTCGGGCCGGTCTGGGGCTGTAAAAACTGCGCTTCTGCCGACCAGCCAATGAGCTGCCGCCTCAGGATGCGGCGTCGCACTGCCGATATAATGCGACAACGCGGGCGTCTATGTGATACTGGGGCTACAGGCTCGGCAGTCGGCTCGACTGAATGAAATTCTTGCGACGTGCTATGAACAATGAAATACGCGTTAACACCATGCATTTTCCGTATCGGATAGCCCACAGTCTGTACGGTGTTTGGTCCGCTGTAGCTGCGGCCACTGGGTGAAAGTGCCGCGGAACGGCAATGCGGGCCAAACACGCGCGGCCCTTGAACTTAGCAGAACAAAAAGCCGAGCACTGCACCCGGAGCGGCGCGAATCAGTTCCACTTATGATGCATACTTATTACTTATTATATGATGTTACTGCGCAAATAACGCATTGATATACTATTTGATGCAGTGACGTTTTGTCGCTCATTATGCATGTTCGAGTCGATATTTGGTATAATTAAATAGACAATGGTTTATTTCTTAGAAAACTAATGCTTCAAAGCAACAAAGCGAGAATAAAAAAGATTAAAATTCAAGCAAGCTAAAACATCTCCGAGCTATTTTCCGCTTTTTGCCTCCAAATAACTTTGCATTCTTTCATTAGTTTCAGAGAAAGCAGCTTTTTGAACGACTTTTTTCCTCAGTCCTTAGATGTCAGGCATGTATGTAGGTAGGTACTCACAGTTTGAATGGATCTGCAGTGCCATAGCCGAGGGGCATGTTCATTTGCATTTCTCTGTTGATCTTCGCCAGTACAAGCAGTGTTTCCAGCTCAGCAAGTCTCTGATCTGAGACGCGTTTTACTCTGCAATCAGAAAGAATCAGAAAGTCAACGGTCTGCATGGTTCAATGTCTTGAAGTCGGTCAGTCATTCGGCTATCTTTAGGTTTGCTAGCTCTAAGTGGTTTCTACTTACATCGGTGTGTTTCTTTTCCTTCACCTATTTCGTCATAAAAGGCATGCCTGATCGGTATCCACTGATGCGTTGTGCTTGTCTACTCTGTGTTTAACCTTACGAGCAAAAACATTAAAGTCCTATGTACAAATACTTGACTTCTATTCATAGTTCGCTTATTCTGAACTTATGTCACTATATACGGGGTAAGCTAACAGGGTAGAAAGGTAATCTTTTACCCATGTTCTCTTGCATTTTCCTGCACACGCATTGCTATATAGTTTGAAGAGCATCTGTCAGCTGCCCTCCTGAAGCAGGTATTCAAAATAGAGTCAGATTGGTCCTCCTGCATGGCTGCCTCGGGTACCACGTCTTTCGCACATCGTCCATCACCTGTGTCAAAGGTGGCGCCTCAGGTGACCGTGCGTGTGATCCGGTGCGCTCACCAGTTCCCCCGGCGAGCCTCCCTTCCATCGCTCAACGTCCCATCAATGTCGGCAGGCCGCCACTCTGTCACCATCGGCACACTGCATTATTGAGCAGAAAACCACAGGACCTCCGTGTATGAGTAGCGCGGGCCGAGCACCCGTTCCCAGACCATGCATAGTTATCCCGGCGGCGTGCCGCGGCGCCGCGCGAACTCTGAAGCCGGCCGGTGTGCCATTTCGGGAGGACGGGCCGCCGCCGGAGAGATGCCCCGCGGTATAGTGTTTTCATTTCATGAGTGGGAACTTTGCGACGCCCCCCGACACCCAGTCTAATGTCAGCTAAGTCTCTCGGGCCGACGAGAATCGAGATCAAAAACTAATCGGAGAACGGGGGCAAGACATTGCTGAGATATCCATTCTATGCATTCTGTGTTCGTGCAAAATATGGATTATGAAATATGGATCCCCATTATATGGATTAAATGCACTAAACAGCTTTTGGAATAACAGCCTTAAATGGACTGCTAACAAAAACGGGATATTGTCAGGAAGTTTGAGCAATATTAAGCCGCTCGACTCGGCATCAGCCACTGTCTCTGTCTCAGTTCAGCCTTTTGTTCAGACACTGTGTAGCGGCTTGATCCGCCTCGGTGCCATCTGATCGTCATTTTAAAGCAATCGTCGGTCCGATCCATCCCCGATGCCGGATCCCACTGTTTGCTCCGGGACCCCCAATACAATGCAAATTGCCCGACAACGGATGGCCGCGCTATTGCCGTATCACGGCGACTGCCAGACGAGACTGCATTAAACAGAGACCGCCAGACCAGCCTGCTGACGGAAAGGCGAACTTACCGACAATCGGCAGACATTTCAGAAAAGGAACTCGTTGAAAAATTGCATAGCAGATACGTTTGTCTACTGCATGTGTGTCTGTGAATGCATGCTCCTCATTGTGGCATTCGCATCGAGATTGCCCAGACTTGCAATTTTATGCTTCATTGGCGTGACGAATGGAGGCTGAGCAAATCACAGCCTAGATAAGAAACACCTGAGCGGTGTGACTTTGCCGTTGGCAGTTGATGTTGTGATACCCTGCATGACTGGCTGCTAATGGCATATTTACCAAGTAACTTAGCTGTGTACCGGCTATTGTTTTTAAAGAAATAGGCACGCTCCCATAATTTTCATAAGTAGTTAAGGTAACATGAATTAAAATGCTAACGGCGGGAAACGGCGGGATATGCAGTACCTACAAGAAGCCGAGTCGCGCCGAGCCGTGGTGAGCCGAGTTACCCGTTCTTTTAAAATGACCAAACATATGACAATCCCTGCTTTTCAATAAATTCATTAGGCACTTTGCATCTCCTGACATTCGAGGTGAGCCGCTACGCCCATGGACATTTTAATGGTGTCACAGGCGCGATCTAGCATCGCTTGACAGTTCACAGGACGCACGGTGTGCAAATGCCGCACAGCGGGTGTGCCTGCCCACACTATATCGGCCTCTGAGGGGAGACAGTGACATCTCGGGAAAGGGCCGCGCGCCGCCTGGGGTGGTCGTTTAGCACGTCAGCCCCAGCAGCTCATCCCTCGTGGGTGCTGTGTGTCACTGCAGACTAAGTGGTCTGGGATGGAGACTGCATCATTTCATTGTAACATTACAGTAAATGGTCTCATGTAAGTTGTAACTAAAAGTGAAACAATTATGACCCATGCAGAAACTTAACTAAAGTGAATGAAAAAGAACTTCAATGCCACCTGACATAACAGACTAATCGTTCCTTGATTTTGCCAAGTGACCCGGGACATACACTGTCTCAAAATGCCAAGGCGCCCAGTAGACTTGTCCAGTTAGTATCGAGACATTGTCGCTGTCCAACTGCCCCGAGTTTCACAGTCATGTAGTAGAAGCCATTTTCACGATGGAACACTGGGCACCTATCTGATTGAAGTTGAAAGCAAATAATAAAAGTATTCAACATTTCATTCGAAAGCTAGAAGGCCTATTAGTAAACAGTTATCAAAATCTATAAGATACCAAACGGATTTAACGGATCAAGGAGGTGCCCAACGTAAAAAGAACTATAGGTATTGTAAATAACAGAAAAGGGCGTCCCGACCATTCATCACATGCACCTATCTGACATTGTTGACTCGCGTTAATAATTAAAAAACTATCAAATAAGCGTACAAAAATAAATGGACAGACCATATGTCATTTATTGACTGCATATCCATTCAATAGGGAATTATTGGAATGCGTATAACCTAAGGCGAGGATATCGCTTACAACTTGTTGGCAAATGGGCTGACCTGCGCTGTGCCAAATTTGGTGGACTGAGTTTTCACCGCGATTGGTACAGCCGCTGCCAGTAAGTGTGATCTTTGGAGACCCGTTTACCTATTGGCCGCTCACACGCCAGTCACCCGGTGCCGGGGCGGCAGAGGTGGATCAGAGCTCTGTGGAGCAGAGCAAGGTGGACGAGAAGGGTCTGTTGGCTACCGGTGGCGCAGACACCCGCCAGACAGCGAGGACTGGGGGCCCAAACAGCGGGGACCGGGAGTCCGACAGGGAGGACTGGGGGGGGGGGGGGGGATTAGACAGCGGGGACCAGGAGCCAGACAGGGAGGACTGGGGGGCCAGACAGGGAGGACTGGGGGGATTAGATAGCGGGGACCGGGAGCCAGACAGGGAGGATCAGGAGCCAGACAGGGACGTATAAAAGTTCTTCGCCGTCTTCTTCGTACAGGCAACTCCGAATAATTTAACATTTAATCAAGCATGACCTTGATTGTGGGCCCATGCATTATCTGGAGTTTCCATGGGATATTGTAAGTCTTTGACTGATTCACGCTGGCGGATGTGACCTGCTCTGGTACCGCGGGTGTGACCTGCTCTGGTACCGCGGGTGTGACCTGCTCTGGTACCGTGGGTGTGACCTGCTCTGGTACCGCGGGTGTGACCTGCTCTGGTACCGCGGGTGTGACCTGCTCTGGTACCGCGGGTGTGACCTGCTCGGGTACCGCGGGTGTGACCTGCTCGGGTACCGCGGGTATGACCTGCTGGGGCCCGGCTGCTCACCTGTAGGGCCGGCCGGCCGCCTCTGGCAGCGTCCACACGAGCGCCACCAGCGCCAGGCCCACCGTCAGCGGAGACGTCCACAGCATGGCGACGACTGGCGGCCCGGCCGCCGCGCGGCTCCCTATCAGAGCGGCGCCGCGCTCCGCCCCCGCCGCACGTGCGCCGCACCTCGCCGGCGGCCCGGGAGCGGGTGCGCACCCATGGGCGGCGCGCCACCGATACCGGCCCCGTCTGGAAATCCAGCTGACCAGTGATGACAATACACAAATTATTTGTGCTAAAAACTTGTGTTGTCCATTTCCGGTCATATTTTCAAGTGCCAATCCTGATGAGAGTTTGAGAGAGGAAAGGATCAACTAAGGTACGATTACCTACTTTGACTCTATACTGCTTATGGGTTTTCATGAAGTTATTGCAAGGAACCTTATGCGTCTTGCAGCCAGACCATTTTTAAGTTGCGAACATCTACAGCATATAGCACCTTTAAAAACTCGAATTACCTATTTATATTTTCCAGTGCTGTTGCTCGTGCTATATAGGCGTTCCAGTAATGAAGAAAGTTTCGTGTTCTGAATTTCATTCGATAAAGTAGCTACATTTTGCCGGATATAGCTACGTAGCTCGGCAAGCTCACGGCAGGCTATACAGATAATGTGCGTTGACTCTCCTTTGCATATATCGCGCCGGACTTTATTGAATATTACACGCTATGGTATACGAAAATAGACGGAAATAGCGCCTCATAACGTCGAGGTGCGTTTGTATGAGACTTCAAGACGCGTGCCATGACTACGTACCGTGCATGTGGACGAGCCTTGCATCAGCTCGGCGCTCGGTATGTCGGCTGTCCTCCTCGTACAGCCGCCGGTAGGTAGGCTGTGCCGCAGTGCGGCCCTGCTCTCCGGCACAGCCTTCACAGACAGACCGCGCAGCCGAGGCCAGGGTGCACGCGCGCCTGCCTCCTTCGTTTTGGATTACCGACGCGAGTCGGCAAGTGTTGCCTGTTTTTACATTTCTGCCGTCGTTGAATGCAGTGGCGACTGGAGGCTTCTGCACAGAGCTTAGATTATGAGAGCCAATGCAGAGACATTTAGCGCACGCCGCGCGATCGGTTGAGTCGCATTGTCTGGCCGATTGTCAGGCCGCGCCGGTCGTTGGCTGCGGTCTCTGTCGTGTCAGGTCACTGCTCCTACCGTCGGTCTCAGCAGCTGAAAGATGCAGCGGCTGTCCGCCGGCCAGCCGCCGCCGGCCAGCCGCCGTGCCGCCAGCAGAGCGATGGCGACGGCATGTCGTCCGTCGCCAGCCGGGCCCGCCGGGGTCTATCGTTTGGCGCGTCTGGTCCTCAGACCCTCCTGGTTCAGCCGTCCGGTCTGCAGACCCTCCTGGCTTAGCTGTTTGGTCCACAGACCCACCTGGGTCTATCGTTTGGCCCACAGACCCTCTTGGATGTACCGTCTGGTTCATTGACCCTCCTAGGTCTACCGTCCGGTCTATGTAAAGACCCTCCAGGTTTTACCGTCTGGTCCATTGACCAACCTGGGTCTGCCGTCCGGTCCACAGACCCGCCTCGTCTCGCCTTAGCTCAGCTGAACGTGACCCGCTCTTACATGCGGGAACAGTTTTAATAGCCGTTTTCACGACAGCTATCTGGTCCACATTTAGTGCAGATCAGGTGCAGATTTGGTACAGATCAGGTGCAGATTTGCTGCAGATTTGGTCCACTTAGGTTAATTGTTTTTTTTTCTGAAAAGTAATCAGTTTAGGTTGCACAGATGCACCTCCTTTTCAATAATGCACATATTAGACATTATGTTCGATTAAACACTGAATTGAATTCACGATATGAGGATATTTGCTGTAGATAAGATTTGGTGCAGATGTGGTCAAATTAGGTGCATTCGCCAGATAGCCCGTCGTGAAAACGGCTATTATGATATTCCGTCTATAGTTTAAGTGGTTTATCAGTCGTATTGTAGCGGGATTCGTTTAATTTTCACACACAAATTAAATGACGTAAATACCTAATGGTTCTGGCGAATAAAGTCAATTGAAATATTACCCGTTTCTTTGAATAACACTGGGCCTTCCTGTGTTTCTGACTGGAGCACTAAGGACGAGCATTAAATGAATTTCCATCTGTGTCCGTGATCCATGTGTAGTTTTACCACAGATCGATTGAACAAACACGATTTCCAATCTTTCCAGTGCAGTTCGAAGCACAGCTATAGATTGGACACACACATACACAAGTCACCTGGCAATCATAATCCAGTGCCACCCCTGGTCTGGTGGCACTGGCTGGTCCTTACTCGGTCCCGTGGTGTTGAAAAATGAAAAAGTGCCCAATTCTGAAGACACTAGCGAAATGCAGTGATGGGATTTATAATTTGACACTCATCATTATATTTGGCCCATGCGCAATACGTATACATCGTAAAAACGCAACACAAGTTATCATTTTTTTTTCATTTTGTGGACGTTGGTAGTATTTTGTTTTTAACGGGGATAAAATAAAAAATAAAGCGAGCTATTTTACATACAATGTACTATAATGAGTCATGCCACCACGGTGATTGCTGAGCTGTCGGTGACTCGACCTCCCGGTGTCGTCTGACGTGACGTCACGCCATGGGGTGTGACGTGACGGGTGCGTCTCCGGCGTCAGGGGGCGACGATTGGCGTAACCCGTGCTTGTCACCGGAGACACGGGACCGCCACGTCCGCGGCGCGGGGCACGCGACACCACACGACGGCACACGACGAGACACGCACTGCTGGCGAGCGGGGACAGTCGCCGCATCGCCGTGACAGCCACCGTATACTTGTATAGTCGCTGCATGTTGAATTGGATAGCTAGGTGGTGCAGTTTCAGTTGCAGCGGCTGGCGGCTGCACCTGTTCCGTGTATTTCGACTAAGGTGGTCGCTTGTAATGGCCCGATATACTGCTATTCAGTGGTTAAAGTGACCATCCCACCTTAAAGGAAATATATTACTTTTAAATACGACCTGTTGAATTACGTGACCCACGAGCCGTGAAAATTTCACCCTCCTGCATGAATCGACGGCTTTGCAATAAGCGTTTTTGGGAGTAACCCCGACGGCGGCGGCGGCGTGGGCGGCGGACTTTTTAAGATTTATAGTAGTAGATATAGGGTTTTGAACTGCAATAGCAGTTTTGTAGCTTCAGCGGACAATAGCACAAATCAGCACTTTTACGCCCCAGCGATCACCCTAGGCAAAGATCTTCCATTTCTCATTCTGAAAATAGTGTCTTGTAGAGGAAAATGCCCTTGGTAAAAGATTACCAGGAATGCAGCCACCTGTCACAGAGGCTAAACTTTCAGCCAATCAGTTTGCAAATTGGTTGTATGTATTGAATGCGCTGTTTTTGTCTGTCTACAGGTTCGTGCGAGTCTATGCAGCTTTTATTTGATTGGTCAATGCATCATTACCTACCTTCCGATGCAAATAGTAAGTACCTGTCCTAGATAAAAAATAGTTCTTCCTATATTAAAATATAGAAAATAATCCATTTTATAAAAGGCTTATTTTATTTTCTGATCATTTGGAGCATGAAAGATCATAAATCAATTGAAAAAACTTATTTCGGGAAAGTGAACTATTCGCATAACATTAGATTTGAGTTGAGATAGCCAAGTTGGGGTCCCTGGCTCACAATCACCGGTTTCGGCACTCACATTGAGAAATGCCTCAAATAGAAAATATTTAATTTTCAAAGTTGCAGCCCTTTGGATTCAGAGGGGCTAATGCATTTGTTTGAATGCCCGCTCTGACTTTGTGACATTAGCGCAGATCTGGCGATTTTTTAGTCTTATACTAAAACCTTGGTGAAGCTGTGGTAGTATATACTGCCTTGTGCGCAACATCTGTTGCTTTTTAACCCTCGCCGGCCGAGGGGGGGATGCCGGCCGAGGGAGGGGGGTGCCGGCCGAGGAGGGGCGGGTGCCGCTCCCCATGTTTTTTTTTCGCGATAGCTCCAAACACGCTGGCGATAGAGAGCTGAAACTTGGCATACCTGACCTTTGATTCAAGCCGGATCTTTTGACACCAACCGCATTTTCGGGTCAGGTCAGGTCACTGACCTATCACGTCATAAGTGAGCCTCTGTGCGAACTTCAGATGTCGCAACTTCACAACACCCTCACTGCCAGAGGAGCTTTCACAGGAAACTGAAACTTGCAGGATCTAGTATCCATTACGACACACACAATTTGCATATCTCGGATTTTTCCTAAAGGTCATATGAGGTCAGGTCATTTTCGTGACCTTGCCATTATAAGTCGATAGGAAAAATGAAAACTGCTATTCTGGCGCCGGGAACGATCTCCAACTATCTCATGTACACAGAATCGTGATTTGATGCACTCTCTGCAAGGTTAGCCCGCGCCCCGTAGGGCTACCGGCGGACCCTACCACCCGTAGGGGGGGGGGGCGTTTCGGCCCCCCTAAGATCTCGGAAATTTACCGGCCGATTTTCAAAATTCAAACGGCGTTCGATGATAGCCCCACCCGGGAACTACCTTGTGACCAAATTTCATTGACCTAAGTCAAACCGATGACGTCACAGGTCAGGTCAAAGGTTGGATTTTCACCGTTCACAGGCATTTCAAGAAATGTGCTGTGAAATCGAGTAAATTGGAAAATTATTGAAAACCATCGATGGTACATTGTTCGTCAAACACATACTTTGCTATCTGAGGTCACTGATACCAGGTCAGGTCACAGCGAGGTCAGGTCACCGGGGGTCACAATATGAAAGTGTCGTGTGATACATGTTTTATGGTCCATTTTACATGACAAATGCGATTATGTGTGTTAGGCAGCCTTTGGGGCCAGCCTAGGTCACGTTTTGGTCAAGGTCAGGTCAAGGTCAGGTCAAATTAGGTCAAATTTCAAAGTTGCTAGTTTTGCATAAAATGGGTATCGATTCGATGCAGCTCGTCACGGAGAGTCTAACGGTGGTCTTTGTTTTGCTCTAGGATGTCTAGAACTGCAAAAAAATTGAGTTTGAAAATTTGACGTCATCATTTTTGAACAGTTTTTTTCGCTATAACTTGGCCAAAAAAAAAAGGTATCGATCTGAAACTTGGTATGTAGATAGAAGACGGTA